AGAGAGAGAGAGAGAGAGAGAGAGAGCAGTGACCGCCAATGGGATCACACTGGTCACTAAATATAGCCACTTGAAAATAGCCGAATGTTGATAGGCGGCACACAGAATCTTGTCGAAATACTGGGTTGTATAGCGCTTGGTGTCGAATCTGTAATAGGCCCTACTGCAATTAATCATCTTTGACTAACTACATTTTCGTGGTGTCAATATTGATATCTAACTAGAATACTTTAATAAATGGGTTACCTTTTTGAGCATTACTTTTAGCATGCAATTTTCGAATAGCCTAACCATAGGCCTACTACATGTTTTATTGTGCCATAAACATTGGTATAACACAACAACAACAACAACAACAACAACAATAACAACAACAACAATATTGACGCTACTTTCGTTGTTGTTGTTACTACTACCACCATCATCGACAACTAAAGTAAAAAATAGGATAAAACAGAATTTTATTGATCTCCACATTAACAAAAATTTGCTGTTTCCTGTTAAATATAACATACACACGCACACACACACACACACACACACACACACACACACACACACACACACACACACACACACACACACACACACATACACACACACACATACACATGTAGTTATTGGAAGGACATACAAAATTAAGGGTTAAGTTATTATTTATTTTTTTTGTAAGTGTTTTACGGTGCTTGCAACTGCATAAAGTCATGTGAGCGCGCGGGACACACCAAACATTTTCAATTGCTAGGAAATTTTGAATTTTTGCCCGGATGGCGGCCGAAACCTACTTTTATCGATTTTGAACCGCCAAGGGATCTTTAAAGTGCGCAGCTTGCACACGGGACCTCCGAGATTTTTCGCCCTTGTCCAAGAAGGCTAGGTGTAGATCTTTCCTACCAGAAAATCAGGGGTATGGTTGAAAGACAGCAGTAAGAAGGAGCCAAGGAGTAGCAGTAGAAAGGCTGCAGAAAGAGCCAGGAGCCCAGAGGAGGGGGCAAAGGAGGTGAGGGCTTGGGGGAAAGAAAGTGGAGACGAAAGCAGACCACAGAATATTGCAAGAGAGAAGGAAAGTAGGTAAAAGGAGATAATTTTAGAGAAGAACATTTTCCCGTCGCTATCCGGATTCAAACCCGGGACCTTTGAATAAGAGGGGAACACCTTAATCTCTAGGCAACGAGAGCCCCGCTTAAGCTTGTTCTTTCATGAACATAATACGAAGAATAATCTTTTTTTTAAAAACAAGTATAATTAATTATACTGGCAAAGAATAGATGATACCAATATTATGGAGATAATGAGCCTGTGAGGTCAAGGAGATGGTCAGTAAGTTGTCGATCTATAGGCTATTTAACGATCATGACCACGACCAATGCCACCGATACGTACAATATCTTATCCAAAAAAAAAGGCGCTTTATCCGCGTCAAATCTTTGGATTGAATTCAAGATCCAAGAAAAGGTACTCTGTTTCTCAGGACTCGGCTAACGAAACGAAAATTATAGGCACGCTACTACGCTACCTCGCTAAGATTTGTGATATCTTTCGAAAAAGTACTCGCGAGTAGGAACATCGTTACACGTATTCAGCCAATGATAGTACTATCTTTGATTCAGCCCAGATATCGATACTGGCATTCAAAGGGCGGTGGTGTATCATCGTGTTTCCATCTCTGCGTAGGCCTATGGACGAGATAAAAATACGTTCATTGTACTGTTGTTAGTGATGTTAGTTATGTGTCGACAATGCTGAGGTGAGGTAGTACGTAAGACAACTGTTGCTTTCCGGTAAATAAATTAGAATATGTAGATATTTATCTGTGTTGTGTAAATAAGACGAGTTTGGGAGTATACATATTATATTATTCGGGGGATCTCTGTACAGAAGACGGCGGTTTCCAGATGTGCATGTTTTTTCCTCATTTACCGGATTCGGGTAATATTATAAGGTAAGGGTGTTCGTTAGGGTTAGCCAAATAGTTAGGGTTAGGACTGGATAACCTTATCCCTTACCCTTAAAATCATCCAAATCCAGGAAGTGAATTCTTTCCTTATTACCTGAATCTAGCTAATAAAAATAACACAGGCCAATCTGGAAGGTTGCTGTCGGTACCATGACGAAATAAATTGAAACACTGACGGGACTTTAGTTAGGCACGGCCGTCTGATACAAGTACAAGCATTACAAGTATGACCTTTCGAAACCGTTTCGTGTAGATGTTTGTAATGTAACCATTCTCATAGACGTTGTTAGTTTCGTCTGGACTTCTTTTCGGCTTCCGTAGAGTTGTTCGGAGCTTTATTTTAACAATTTTTCTTTATACATGTAACTTCTTAAGGCTACATCTTTACGACTTCCTTTTTCACTTTGAATTTTTTCCACGATGAGCAACATGGAATTTGATGTGCCCTCATAAATCACAAACTTTTTGCTGCCAGTTTTCGTGTGTATGTTGTTTGTTTGTTTCTGCATGCGTCCGTGAGTGCGTGTGTGCGTGAGAGTCCAATTTATGTAAAATATCTGATGAGCTGCACCAATTTATGGAATTGCCGAGTCATATGTTAAAATGTGTGGATGTATAGGCCAAAGGCCTTTCAAATGAATACTTCATTTTAAATCTTGAAATATTTCATCCTTTCTTCCTTCTTTTGTTTTTTCTGTTTTTCTTTCTTTCTGTACTTTTTGTTGTTGTTGTGATGAGATACAACGCCCCATTAGATAGAACTACGCAAATTTGGGAGAGTGGACCTTTTGGTCACTTGGTGTGATCAAGAAAAAAGACGCCTGAAAGTGAGGAAGGAAAGAAGGCAGGCACATATACGTATGGGTACGACAAAGTTAAAAAATACTGGTTACCCAGTATAGCTCAGCTCTGGTTGTCATAATGTAATTCATGTTACTTTGATCGAGAACACGGATACACGTGTAGTTACTTTGAGTTCTAGAGTGTGTTGCCCCCCCCCCCCCCCTTAATTGTTCCTTCGGATCATGCACATCGGCAGTACTGGCGGAAACAGATTCGTCTCAAATATCATGCGGAGGTAATACTGTGGACTTATTGCTATTTCAGAATACTGTAGATCTAATTCATTTGTTCCTCGATCAAGTCAGAGTGTACATTTGGATTTTTGGAAGGTTCATAATGTATAAGTTGACGAGGACAAAAAATCCCCCCAAATATCCACGATCAATGTTGTCAGAGAAACAGCCAAGATTTGGGGGTCTTATGATTCAAAATAATGTATTCTTTCTCTCTCTCTCCTCAGATCTGGGCTGTGGAGAACAGTGCTCTGTGATGGGATTGGCTCCTGCTGAATTTCGAGGAAAGAAGTGAAAGAGATGTGCAGTATGTCTGGGCATCTTTGAGCAAATTGTGCTTTGATGCTTTGCATCATGGGGACAGACCGTGAAGAAGAAAATAACCGACCAGCCGATATCTCTGACGCCTTGACGTGGGAAAATCATACCATGCTGGAGGACACACAAGCTCCTGGCCCCGCCGCCCTGACTCGCAAACTTCCCGAGCTCCCCGTGGACCGCGGCTGGGCGTGGTTTGTGATGCTGGGGGCGTTCACTACCACGATGTGCCTCATGACTGTCATACGTTCCATGGCGCTGCTTTTGATGGAGTTCTTAGAACTGTACCAAGCTTCAGCTACAATGACCACTCTGGCTTTTGGTCTGTCCGCGGCCATGGTGGCTCTGAGCAATCTTCTGCTCCCCATATTCTTTCTGCCACGATTCACCATTCGGACGATCGCTCTGAGTGGGGCCGTCGCCAACGCCCTCGCCCTTCTTGTCATCGCCTTTTCGCCCTCTATCTACCTCACCGACGCTATGTTCGCCGTCACTGGCTTCTCCTTTGGGCTTATGATAGCTCCACAGATGGCGCTACTGGGCTGTTACTTCAAACGACGCCTCTCCCTCGCCACAGCCACAGCTGGCTTGGGCTTGAGCGTGGCCACCATCGGAGGACCTCCCTTCACACAGGCATTGTTGGATTACTACGGCCTGTGGGGGACTGTCATGCTTCTGGCGGGCCTCAATCTACACTGTATACCAGCCACCATGTTATTTAGGCCCACTTCAATGTACGCTGCCCCGGCAGCTTCAAATCTGAACGCTAAGTCTATTTCCTCCAGCATCCCACCAACCTCAAGTGATGTAGACACAAAGTCCCCGACTTTACCGTGTGTTCCCTCTGAACATCACGCCATTGATATATCAAAGGAGCAGCGTAAAAGTGTTAATAATACCGGTATTCTTATTGAAACGGAAAAGGTAGGAGAGGACAGGTTATCAGAAAAGGAATGTATAAAATATATTTTCAACAAGGATTCAGAAAAACGAATTAGCATAAGTGAAAATCGCAGAAAAGCATCATTAAGTTGCAGTTTCTTAAACGAAGAGAAGAACGGTAGGGGAATCCAAAACTTCCTTTACGAAACGAATGTTCACAAATTGTCCTTGAGGAATAAAAAAACATCAGCAAGTACATCTGTCATCGACAAAATATGCCAGTCCAGTTTTGTCCAGTACATCAGTGCCCCGTCCCTGGGTGTATTGGCGGCCAACCAGTCAAGTGGGCAACAAAATGATAGTAAACAAAGCCAGATACTGTGTTCTTTGCCTGCTATTCCGCACGGGCCTGTAGACGTTCAGCTCAACGGTGACAACGACGAGGAAGCGCCACTTTCGTGCATACAAAAGTTGAAGCAGACAAAAACATTTTCAGTGTACAGTTCGCCTCTTGCCATCATCCTTATTCTTGCCTCGGGGTTGGGGGTCCACACCCAAGCTGTTTACGGCTACATGCCTGTGATAGGTGCGGAGAACGGTCTCGCCATTGGCCAGACGGCGGTCTTGTTGACAGTCACGGGTACCTGTGACCTTCTGAGCAAACTGGCAATAGGAGCCCTGGCGGACTTCCCGTGCGTCAACCGGATGTTGGTGGGCGTCGTCTGCCAGATGGGGATCGGTGTACTCATGCAGTTCATGGATTTCTTCAACAGTTTCCCTCTGATGATTAGCGTGCAGGTTGCAGCAGGGCTCACCGTTGATACTTTCTACGTCCTGTTGCCTGTCATCATAGCAGACGTGCTGGGACCTGACTATATCGGACACATCTTGTCGGCCTTCTTCCTCATCAACGGCTTTATTACGTCAATGGACCATCTTGTGGCCGGCTGGCTCAAGGACACCACAGGATCATTCCGGGGCGTCTACCATTACATGGGTGTTTTATTTATAGCCACGGGTCTTATCCTGGCCTCTGAGCCGCTGGTGAAAAGAATGAAGGCCAGATCTAGGAAAACTTCATATGTCTCTGATGCGTCATAGAGAAGACCAACGATCCTAATTATATATATGTTAACCCCTTTCAAATTCACTGCCGTAATGCACACGCAACTACATGTATCGTGAAGTGTCGATATGATGAACTGGCGAGTATTCCTCCTGCAGCCACTACGATTCACACTGTTTCAACATCATACGCAATAATGGGGTCTTTCAACTGGTAACTTCTAGAAAGGAGACTTTTGCTCCTTCATTTTCTTAAAAATAGATTCTCCACCAACGGTCGTGCAGAACAATGTGCGCCAACACAACAAGAAGTGAATTCCAGTTTTCTATTTACGCGAAGGCTATCAAGGAACTGTTGTACTCTACATAAACTAAAGACTTGTATTACAATTTCCAAGACAGGGAACTCTAGAGGTAATTTTGGTTCACTATAGCATTTGACTCTATTTGGAACCAAATGAAGGACAAGGAGGGAACACCTACACCACAGACAGCGGTGAGTTTACAAAGGGAAATCAGGTAAAATTCAAAACACATACGGTAAAGCAGCTACGTGTTTCATTTGCATTGAGCAACCTTGTATGACAATAAATGTCACGCTTTGAGACTGGCGTGAAAACATAATATGAAGATCAATCATTTGTCTATAAAATAATTCCAGTATTAACTTAAATTAGATCTATTACTTCACAGATTCTGTGGTTGTTTCCATAAAGTCTTAATACGTCATTCAACTGGAATTTGTAGGCTCAGATGTTTGCTTGACGAGACTTACTTAAAAAAAAAAACTTTACGTAAAACAGTCATGATGTCCGTGCGAGCATTCTTGTGAAATGCCTTAGAATACAACTTGCATTTTAAAGGTGATGGGTTGGATTCAACGCTTCCAGACACATTGAATCTAACCCCCCCCCCCCTCTCTCTCTCTCTCTCTCCTTGATTCGCCCAGATGAAAAAAGAGTTAAATTAGGAGCTAGATCACGCCTCATAACCTAATAATGTTGGTATGGGCGTTAAACCCATACCATTTCACAATAATAATAGCAAAAGAGATTGCTGTTTAACAATCCAGAAAAAACGTGACTGACAGCAGCGGTGCACGCTTATTATGCTGCAACGTTGTATGCCCATCTGAGAGAAAAACAAAAGGACTTGGTTGGCCTACAAACCTAAAAACACCTCGTCAACTCACACTAGATCGAATCTTCAAGCTTGAACGAGTAAAGGATACGCAATTAATTATGCAGAGTTTTTCGATCTAGGTCGAGGGGAGGGACACCCCCCCAAAAAAGAAATAAAAAAATAATAATAATAATTTAAAAAACAAATAATTAAAAAATAAAAAATAAAAATAAAAACAACCAACAAAAACAACAAAGAATAAAAACAAACAACGAAACAAATGGTTTGAAGAAGTGTGTCACCTTGTCGATCGAATTAAGGCCGAAGTTGCAGAACGCAAGGTTTTTGTTATGATCTCTAAAACACAGAGAATGTTAATGGTGTACACAATATTCACCGGCGTCTGTTGTGTAGCGGCAAGGCGCTTTGCCATCACACGCACATGACCCCGAGTTCGATTCCCGTGTGGACAGAATTCTTATCGTGTGTCTCGCTCTTCCTGTTGGGACTTAAGCTCCCTCTCAGCCCAGAGTGTCCTTGACATGCACGGTCGAAGCTGGCCTTCTAATTTGTGTCGATGGGAGCGTAAAAACACCAAGAGCTACATACGTTTCACTTTACGTTCAACACTGACAATGTATGATACATATATACATATATATATATATATATA